CAATAATAATTTATACAATAAAATTAACTCTTTCTTTTTTATTTTTCATTTTTTTACAATATTTTACCCAATTTTTATATTTTTTAAGGAGTTCAAGTAAAGTATAAGTTCATTAATTATAATAATTATAAAATAGATAAGCATAATGCTCAAGCTCACACACCATAGGTGGTGATTTTCCATAATAATAATAATAATAATATAATTTAGATTATAAATAAAATTATCAAGGTGTTTGTATGTATAAATATACTATATTTATGTATAAGCTTATAGGCACAGGTAGTACCGTTCATAAAATTTTAATGTTATTCGAATGAAAACCATAATTTTCACATTTTCATCTTTTATACTATCTACATTATGGTTATCATTATTACTTCAGTTATTATGATTATAAATGTATGTATGTATGTATGCATGTTGGTATGAATTTATGTTATATTTTTAATAAAATATATGTATGATATCAAGAAGAACTTTGATACCATGGTCTGGTGATACCTGATGGATCTTTGAGCCTTAACGCGTTCATCAACAACTAAAAATTTCATGTTGCGTTTTTATTTTTTAAAAAAAAATTTTTTTCGTTTTTTTTGTTTGTTGCTGTTTAGGTTATTTCAAGTGGTTTTTTTTTTCTTTATTATTTTTCATTTTATTGTTTGTTTGTTGTTTGAAAATTTCCAGTTCAATAGCCTTAGGCAGAGCGGCACACTTTTGTTGAAATCGGATGCCATAATATAACATCAACTCATAGTTGGCTCACTCATTCACTCAATTTTTTCTTTTATTTTATTCGCTATATATTATATTGTATATAATCATTATATGATGTGAACTAAAGCCATCAAAATTACTAAATATTTTATTATACATACATACATACATATACATACATACATATTATATGTATATACTATAATATGTCTAAATTTTTATGAATTTTTATAAATATATTTTAATAAGTAACTTATAAGTACAGTACAGCTTAAAAATGTTTAAACATTTCCGTTCCTAATGGTCGATTAAGAACCTATTGCGATGTTATACAATTTTAAGACTAAGTATGAGTAAACGTAGTTTTAATGAATTAATTTACATAAATTTTTGCAAATTTGGAATGGAATATTACTTGAATACATTTGGGGGGCAGCACATTAGTTTATACTTTGTTCATTAAATATATTTGGAGGTAAGAATGCTTTGTAATAATCTTTTTTTTTGTGAAAGATTATGTGTGTGAGCACTATGAAAAGACAAAGTGGAGAGATGAAGTATTGTACGGATTTCAAAAATTTATGTCCATTATAGAACAATGAAGTTCTGGAGGGTAATTATTAAACGTCAAAACAAAAGACTAAAAATTCTCCTAAAACCAAAGGAAATAATTTATTGTCATTATTTATACGCTGAAATTCCCGATTTTCCTAATACCTTTCTACTTTTACTAAACAATTGTCACTTTATTTAGAATATTGAAAAAATATTTTAGTGATTTTACTAGACTATTAGAGTGTGCTGCCAAGCAAAAATCAATCTTAAACACTTTAAATTTGAGAGAATATAAATTTAATGATTAACAGTTCTAATAGAGTTTTGAAGACAGACATTTTATGCAATTATAAAATTCAATTTTAGTTTCAGTCAACAAATTTTCACAATAACTTTATTCATAAATTAGTTTTACTGTATGTAATTTATTAAGTCATATCTATATTATTTTGATAGATATTTATAGAAAGAGAAAAGTAGTTAAAGAAAGAGAAAGGTATGCGATGATATTATGTACATAGTTGAAATTATAGCAGAAAAGAATAGAATTGAATATTGAAATGACGAGGAACACAACAACAGCACGGAAAATCATTAATAATAATGATAACAAAAATGTTATAAATCGTGGCATATGCTTCCTTCCTCTTAATTACGATTAATTATGAAATCATTCAACTGAGACATGAATAGACAATTTTTCACCCTTTTTTTTTTCTCTCTCTCTTTTGCTTAAGTTAGCATTAACTGTTCTCACATTTTGCCTGAAAACTTACTGTTTTTTTTTGAGGATCCTTTTACTTGACCGCCGGCGTTTTCATTATTTTATAAAAAGTACAAAAAAAAAGAAAAAATTAAATAAATTTTCTTATAACTATATTATAGATACGCCAAATTAGAAATAAAAAGAAAAAAAATGAGAGTAACATTAAGTACGCATGGGAATCGGGTCAATTTTTATGATAATTTTAATTAAACATCATTTAGAATTCTAGATGATAACAATGTAGGTACAAAATACAAAGGATAATGAAATCTAAACATGTAGGTAGAATATAGTTTACAAAATTAAATGACTATCAACTTATTACTTAAAAAGGTGATTAATCATAATGATAGCGAATGAGAAAAAATATTAGAAATGCTTATTAAAATTTATTTTCTCAATATATATGATGGATTAAAGCATGTTATGTTGCAAATCCACTCAGGAAAATAAATGATAATTACGTACAGAATTATAATATACATAAAATATGAAGATCATTACCCCGGGATGAAGAAAATAAATAATTCTGAAACAAATCTCTAAATAAAATGTTGACTGAGTTTCGGCTATTTGGAATATTTTTCTACCATAAGCTAATTGAAAATTTCTTTTTTAATGCAGGTGCAAAAACATAGATAGGTGAACCCAAAGTGGTCAGATCTATTAATAGGGGGATACTTAATCCAAGCTAAAACGCACCTGGATTGTCATAAACTCCCAAAAATAATCAAACTGACTAACCATTAACTCTGTTCTATCCTGTTTTAGGATTTGCATTCCGTGAAGGCACGAAAGGGCTATTACAGTTCCTTATTTCCTTACTTAGTTGAGGGACACCCAAATCCCTATGAATGTCATTATGGCGCACATACCAGAAAGCACCCATCATATTGTAGATTGAAAATTGTAGATTGCAAAGAACGGATAACAGTGCACCGCGACTAGCACTCATTACATTAGGAAGGACCTTGCTCTGGAAAGCTCTGGTTTTATTATTTGGTTGTATATCAACCCCTTTTTGTGTTTTACAAATTTAAACCCGCGACCTAGGGGCCTATTGTTTTCCTTATATTTATCTTCTAATTCTTTTCTTTTTGTCTGACTTTGACAATCAAAGTTATACCTAAATATTTGACTGCGTTTTGGATTGATACTCTTGCACCATTCAAATTCAATTGTGGTGGGTTTATTAAATTTTTGTTTGTGTAGTTACATGTACAGATTTACTTTCATTTAGCTTTATTTTCCATTTATTTATCCATTTATTTATATTGTTACTTGCTTCCTGCAACTTTTTTGTCGATTCTTCAACATAAGATTCTATTGCCAATATTGCTGTATCGCAGTCAAATGTAGCCACAGTTACACCCCGTAAATTTGGCAAATCATTTGTATAAAGTACGTATAACATAGAACAAAGAATACGGCCGTGATACACACCAGTTCTTATTTCCGTAAGCGTGGAATAAAATAAAATTTAATTGGCTTATAAAAAATCATACCAGATAATAGTCGAAAACCGATTACTAAAACACTTAACAATTTGACCTTCATTCTTCTTCTACATAACCCAATTACTTAAAATCAGACAATGCAATTCGAAAAAAAAGCCTACTCCATATAGATAATAAAATTATTAATTATTTTTTTCTAAATTATTTTAATTGCAATTTTAATCTCGAATACAAAATGGTATCAGTTCGCTTAAATTCTATCGTTTACATTATGCAAGTAAGTGAATCTTTTGTTAATAATTATTTCTAACACTAAATGAAAATGTAATTTATTAGCGTGCTAATCAAAATTGACTTGTAATTTTTATTAAAATGATGACTTGCACACAATTTGATTAACACTGAAATCTTTATGTTATGAAAATGGACTGCCCCATATGATTAATTCGCATTTATTTTTTTGACTCGTTAATTATTTAATATATTTCTTTATAAGTATTATTAATGAAGCTCCAAAATACCAATTGAGATTTCATTTTTATACCCTACACCCTTAAGGTCAACTTTGGTATAGAGTTTGTAATTAATTGAAGGAGTCGCTTTGATTTATTGATGTGTGTGTCTATTCTTGCTAAATGTGAAATTGTATATAGATTGTGGCATGTGTACCTGTTCCTCTGCTCATTTGTACGTATGATAACTTAAAAAGAAAAAAATCAATCACCATGAAACTATCAGAAATGGCTTATTTTCTGCCAAGGTTGCTATTGTAATTAAATCAATTCGAAGCGGGTTTATGTAACTGTTATACAGAACTCAAAAAAATGATTTAAAATATTTAAAAAATTAATAGGTAAAGATAATCATATTCAATTTTGACAGTCATAGGTCAGACATACCCTAAAGAACCTTAACAGAGAATGTCAAATATTTCCAAAACTAATTGTGGTAACTTTATAATATTATAGCAAGAGAGTGCCGAACTGGTTCACTAGATTTCGATTGTATAATAAGATTATCCTCTTAAAGGGTATAATTCCGTTATCTAGGGTATAATTCGAAAATTGACTGAAATGTTTTTATTTGTTAATATTATAAAAATTCCTAAAAAAAATTAATAAACGTCAACACCATGATAAATTCTAAGAGGTAAATAATATAATTTTTGGAATTTCTAAAATTGAAACATTTATTTTGTCGTTTGCATCACGCTCAATTATAAGCAACATGAATTCATAATAACACTGTAGTTATTATGAATTCCTGATAGTTTAGATAGATAATATAGAGATTTTAAAACGAACGTAAATATTTATGTGTGTACTTCAAATTTAATCTAAATTAAAAGGTACATTAAATATACGCTGATTATAAAATAAAAACAAACATGCACATAATTTTTTAAATTGAAAAATTATTATTAAAAGTTTAGAGTTCATTTTGATAATAATGAAAATGTTGATGAAATTTTAATTCGACAGAATATCTTTAGTCTGTAATTAAAATTCATTTAATAAAGATCTTACATTCTATATTGTTTTAAGAAAAAATTAAAAAAAAATATTTAAAAAAAAAAAACGCGTTCGTAATGGTGTTATTAATTATAATAATTAAATTACTATTTTATATTGGAATTACTGAAGTCAAAGCTATAAGTAAGTTGTTACGGAGTTTGTACATGTATTCTTATGTGTATTAATCAGAAGTTTCTAAGAGTTTGAATCTATTTTCTTCGATCTCTTATGTGTTTCTAATTGAATTCTATTCACACAAACTAAATATGTGTTTGGGTAATGATGAACGATTTAAGCGCCGCCTAGTATTCCTGTTTTAAAACGCTGTAACACTCATTTAACAATTTATGTCCAAACACTAGAATAATTGAGCAAAATGGTACTGTACAATAGAGATATTCCATAACGCAGTAGCAGTGTAATCAAGTGTGCATAATATGTTCAGAATTTTCGAAAATTGAATTCAGTATTCCAATGAATTATTGCAGTACAAATTCATATTATTAAACCTAATTTTAAATTAATTGCATAATCTAATTTTTCTTTTTATTCTGATAATTAATATTGATTGGCCTTCATATTATTTCTTTAATAATTACACTACTTATCAATTTTGTAAATTACTTACTTATCAACATAACATTTTATTATTATAAACATTTTCTATATAAATAATTTTTTTTTTTGGTTTTTTAATATTTTTACAGCTGAATACAATGTTACAAGTGATTTTCGAGGGGTTTTTCCACATGTTATTGATGAAAAAGGAAATTATTATAAGATTGAAAAGAATTCAAAACATTCAATTGACATAACACATCATTTTAATCGTGGTGAATTTCTTCATTCATTTGAATGTACATTCCGTTTGGATCCAGCATATGTCAGTAGAGATACAAATTTCTTTTTAATACATTTATATAATTCAAGAAAAACTCTTCATTTATCAATAAATTTGAATCTTGATGAGAATTTAGTGAAACTTGCATTTAAGAAGAATGCTATTAAAACAGTTTATACTTTTCATTTTAATAATACTGTTGACGTAAGTTAAATATCATACATCATTTGTACGTAAGTTAAATGTCATAATATCATTTGTACGTAAGTTAAATGTCATACACATGGCTTTGTATGTATTTACATTTATAAATGCTAAGAATACATTTTAAAAAGTGTTTGTTATATAGGAATTTTAAAGTGAAAAACTTACCGAAAAGTTCTTAAAATAGAAACGTTCCAAATATTCGTAAAAAACATTTGCACGAATCGGATGCTTAATTCTTATATATATACATATAATGTATGTACACAAATTTTGTATTACGCATTACGAGTTCTAAATTTAATTAAACCTTATGTTGTCTTAGAATGACAGCTAATGAAATTTTCCAAATTAATATTACAAACCCCGCATTGTAAACACAATGTTTTTCAGTGATTAAATTATTGTTGTTAAAAGAAACGTAACAAATGTCATAAGATTATTTGACGAATCCTATTTGACTATTGTTTGACGAATTTCTGAATAAAACTACGTGTTTTTTTAATCTTAAAGTTAAGTTTAATCTTTAAATTTCGTAAATTTTTGGGTGGATTGTTATAATCAGTGTATATATATGAAATGTCATACAAAAAGTTAATTTTCAATTGTAATAAAATGACCTTCAGTTCGGGTTTCCCAATTGAGACAGATGAGCTTTCTTCTTACTGGAATTCAGGAAATTGTTCAAGTCTTTAAATTAAAACTTAGCATTTATTAGATTTGTTAAAATTTAATTTAATTTTTTTATTCTAAATATTTAATTTAATTTTTATGTATAGTTTTTAGATGGGGAATGGCATAATATAATGTATGGTATACATAATTTAAAACATGAAGATTCAAGTATAGATTGTTGGATTGACTGTACAAAACAAAGTTATAATCATTTAACTCGTGAAACATTTACAGAAAAGGATTTATCATATTTTATTAAAAATGTTACATTATCTATTGGAGAATTACATGGTTCACACAAAAATGAATCCGTTCCTGTAATAATATACATATACATATACAAATTTAAATGATCGAAATATAAAAGAAAGTAAAAGATAAAACCTTATTTCAGACTCTGTTGCCTATAAATTGTTTCACTTTCGATTTATTAGGTCTGAAATAAGGTGTTAAACGGGTTGAAGAAACAGTAAAACAGTGACCGCGTGCATACTATGTGATGGTATCAAATTTTACATATTAAAGCATTTTGTCTGTCTGTGCATGCGGGTATCTTAAGTTCGGCCGATTTTGATAAAAAATTTTATATTTGCGTTTATTTCGGTTATCTAACAGAAATGTATCTAATTGATCAATTTTTGGGATATGCCAGGCTTCGAGAACAGGAACTTTTTCGGGCCCTATATGACATTTTTTACATAAATAAAGAAAAATAATCAATCGATTTCTTCAAATTTTATTTAAATTCGGGGTGTTAAAACAATAAACCAATAAATTTTTTACAAAGTACAAGACTCGGAAAGTGGATTGGGTGCCGATTTTACATTTGTTACCATATTCACGGAACTAATTAATGAAATTTCTTGCAATTCAATATTTGAGTTCTGCTTGTAACCAAAATTAGCCAGTGGACTTTACCGGGAATTCGGTAAACTAGATGATATACATTTCGGTCGGTTATGCACTGACCACATCTGATTTTTTACTTTCTTACACCAATAGTTAACAACATTAAAACACAAATTTTCAAAAAAATTCATAAAAAATATTTTTGCATTGTAGATTGAAATATCCAAAATGAGGTTTCATGGATACCCAAGGATGCCAATATTTGCACGCTGTGAAGATATCGGTAAAAATGTAATCCAGGAAGAATCTAAAATAAAATTAACAAAAGTGCATATTTATCAAACTAACAATAAAACTGAATTACATTATGATTCGGATGAGGAGCAAAGTTTAAGTGAAGAAAGTTTTGAATCATTATCAGATTCTAGTTCATCAATAGAAGATTATAGTAGGCATAAGGAAGAAGTTAATCCAGTTTCATCAATATTTGGTTTTATATTATTCGTTTGTTTTATTAGTGTTACAGCATTTTTATTAAAAAAATATTATTAGTTTCATGTTTTTTTTTTCAAACTCACAAAATTTAAAATCTTAAATTAAATAATCATTCATGTTTTAAAAAAATTACCGTAAGAAATATGTGATACAATCAGTAAAATTACAATAATATTTAAAAAAAAAGTGAAAAAATAAAATTGTGACTCTTTTTTAACCAAGTAATCAATCATGATACCAGATCAGTTTTTAGTATTAATTACTGCCTAAACCTTTAAGGGATATTTCCTCCTAAGCCTATAGTTTCAGATGAATTTGACTACAGTCGATTAATAGTTGCAATGAAGTGCGGATATGAATTTGTACAATTAAGGGTAGCTTCTCTTTACATATCATCTCTCTGTTTACAGCTTTCCGCTATATCAATATCAAATGATTATCAATAGATTATAAATATCCATGTGAAACTTTCAGGAGAACAAAAGAAGCTTTGATCGAGAAGGAATAAGCGAGTTATTCATGGATTCATGAAATATACAAAATATATAAAGTTTTCAAGAAATCTCCGTGAGGAAGCTATGTAATGCATGAAGGCTTGTAATTCTACAAAGTGTTTTTGCATTCTGTTGAACAGGATTGTTGACGAACCTATTCGTAGCCTAATACTGGAGCTTCTCAGAGGGTTGTTCTTTCTGCTATTACTGTTACTATACTGCTACTAAATTAGGCGGTGCAGTTAATCAAAATTTTGCGTTTAATGTATTCAATGTTTTATCACTCATTATTCTATAACTATTACATATAATACTTGAAAATTCAAAATTAGTTTCGAATTCTTTATCACAATGCAAAATTATTAAATTTTAATTTAATTAATTGCCAGTTCTTAATTACTAAATAATAAAATTTTCATCACACCTTATACACCACGAGAATACATTCAAGAATATTTAAGAAGAATTAGGAAAACTTTATATTTATTCATTCCACTTTCATTATTTAACTATAAAACTGTAATAAACTTGACTTGCATACAGATCTGTTTAATTTGACTACTATACATAAATTAATAATAATTACGCTTTGTTACTTTAATAATCCTGGTTTTATACTTTATACTTTTTGAAGTAATAAAATTTTAACATTATGCAATTCTACTTATACAAATAACTTAAGAATTCAACATTTTTTACTCTTTAATTAAATTTTTACTTATGTATGTATGTATATTGTATACTTATATTTATACAATGGGTATAATTAATTTTAAAACTCATATATTTTATTTCTTTATATATTCTATACACACATATATCTATTTATGGGAAAATGTGTTCTTTTCATCCACCATACACAATAATCTGTCAACACAATATTGTAATAAAAGTATGTACTTTTTAACTTTAAATAATTTATAATGAATTGCTTTTACAAGGATTTTCATCCTCCCTATAAACTAACTTCATCATTATTATTATTATTATTATTATCTTACTGAAAGGAAGTAATTTAAATTATTTCAAATAAGGAAATCCATGTAATATTTCATCGTTTTAATTATAAACATATTCTTGTAGGATGCATATAGCATGTTAACAAAGAGAGAGAAACAGAGTGACAATTACATAATATAAAAATAAAAAAATTCCAATTTTTATTTTCAACTTTAGTTTAACAAACTATATAGTTTAAATGTGCGTATACATATATTTATTACAATAAGTAAGTGTGTGTCACCTAGTCCTTTAAAAAAAAAAGTATTTCAAATTTTAGTATCGTCCCACATGATTATCTTTCAATTCATGAAATGAAACTAAATCCCTATGAGAATAATATTTTTTTTTTCCTCATCGTTCACTTGTATATTATTGTATGGTTCATATGTATATGTACATAAGTGATGCGTACAGTGAAAATTTAAAGTAATCCTTAATATCAACGCCCATGTTTATTTAAATTATTTTTTTTTTTGAAATGCATCTCACTGTTTTAGCGTAGATGAACCAGAAACCTTATGTTTTCTATATAAAATATTCATAATATTAAACATATTTACATGTACATATATGTATATGTATATATATATGTTCAGCGCTCCTAAACGATTATTGTACATTTTATAGAGATAAGATTATCTAATTGAAATTTAGATTATTGAGGACGGTGTCTTTGTTAAAAAAAAATTATTTAGAATTATTTTGATAATGTCGCAGCTGTATACTTCGGTGTTTAGGCCATTGGAAAAGTTTGTGATTTACAATGTAAAGTTAGTGTTTTGTTTCAATATAGAATGGTAGATCATAAGAGCTAAATATGCTATTTTTTGAAAATTTTGTTTAGAATTGAAATTATTCTCGAGAAATTTCGAGTTTTTTTTAAAAAAGTTCCAAAAAAATTCAAAATTCTGATTTTGACGAGCTCTATCTCAAAAACTATGGCTCAGATCAAGTTGATTGTGACACCGAAAATAAAGAGCCGTCAACTATCAAGCAATCAATTGTCCTCTATGGTAAATCTTTGTTTCGAAGTCATACTCATTTATTTATATGCAGGAAGAATCTGGTACTTTTTTTTTCAATAAGCTGTAGCTCGAAAACGAGTATATGTTTTTCCCGGAAATTGATCAAAAATCATGCGTAAAATTGTTTACCATCTTATGTGATGGTAAACAATTTTATCTATCATTTAATTCGTCCAATTTTCATATATACTTTTCTTGCATAAATTTTACCAATACTCTTTATATAATTGAATTTTTAATAATATTTGTCTTTTGAAGCTTAAGTGCACAAACCATACATTATGCAATATAATTTTAGTCTGATTTTAGCACCCTGTAAGTTAAAGTACAAAATTTCGTTCATTTATTTGTCCATATAATATCATAAATACAATTAAAATTATAAATACAATTTTTTTAGATAATTTTAATTAGTGTAATTCAAAAATTTCAATAATAAGCAAGATTAGAAGTCATAAGAAGGGCAGGAAAGAATTTTTCAAGCAGTAAATGTCCAAACTTTTGCATTATTAATAAAAAGGCAAAGGAATTCATAAATCTAAGATCAAATAAAAAATTTCAATTAAAGAATCAAAAAAAAAATACCCAGGCATTATGAGAAGGACCCCGGTTAGATTTCTTGCAATATTGAGAAATAAATAACGGGAAAAGAAATTCATTTTCTTTGTTTTACATTTTTTTTTTACTCTATACAACCCTTACACATACATTTAATATTTTAAAGAATACTAGAAATTATTAAAAACTTTATACACCTGTTGATAAAACCTATTTCAGGTATAAAAACTAGATTTTTCACTAACATATGCATGACACCCACCAATGTACATGCTTCCTTCTATATATTATGCATTCTGGAACAACATGAACAAGTTTATATGATTTTTTTATTATTAAGGATGGAATTTATATTTGATATGTTTTTTTATTGAAAACGAATCTTGAATTTTCTGAAAAAAGAACAAGGATATTAACAAAATGAATAAAATATCAGAAAATTGCATTTTCTTAATAACGTTTCGTTTTTGTTTTTCTTTTAAAGAAAAAATGAAAGAAAATTTTAGGTTTAATTTTAAATGAAGATGAAATGAAAATATGAAATTTTTAACATGAAAGTTAATAAATTTTGGAGTGATTTGTACAAAATTCACTCATGAAATAGAGCTTGAGTCTTTAAATAGATCAAGTCAAACAAATTTCTCTGGAAACTCAATTTAGAGTATGGTCTTTTTCAAAAATGTTCAATAAAAAGTAAAGTAATGGGATAGCCCTAGGTTTCTTGTTTCTGCAGAATCAATCGTAAAAACAGAAATCAATGCCCCAAGTTTTCATTTCACTCATTTCAGTTTTCTTAGAATGAGATAAAAAAAAATTAATTAAATGTTCGAAAATGAAAATCAGTTGAATTTCATTTTTGATTAAATCTGAATAAAAAGTAAATTTTTCTTATTGAATAGGAAAAAAATAAATTCGGATCAAACCAATTATTCGTACCTCAAGTAGGACTTACGTGTGGGCGTATTCTTAAGGCTGAGGCAGACATGCAATTTTTAGTTTTACAATTACTGCTGGATTGTAGAATCGCGTCAGTTAGTGGATTGACAATTCGATTTGAACCGAATGTGTTAAAAATTGCAATCAGTTTGTAACAAATTACAAACTGTTTGATTGCTTATTTGCATGCGATGGTTCAGCTGTATAAATGCGAATTTGAATACAAACCTATGGAATACAAGGAATCTACTATAGCTACTTAACTTACTTTCGTTAATATACCAAAATATATCAAATAATTGCATACATTTAGGATGAGCAAAGAAAAAAACAAATTGAAAGGAGTTTTAACGTAACTTAACTCAACAGTTAAGTAAATGAGTTAAGATAAACTATTAAGATTATATTCTTGGCATTTCGTGTTAGTTTTTTATTTTTACAGAAATTATATAAGTAAAAAACGCCGCAAAATCGAAGTTTAAAAAATTTCCAGAGTAGTTAATTTTGAAGCATATGAAAATGGGAAAAATACGTAATATTTATAATAAATTCGCAGTAAATTGAATTCTAGTCAGACAATTATTAATACCCTGCTCGCTTGCTTTTGCTTTGCAGTTTCATGCGAGTCCATACGAATTTGATATTCACATTTCTCTTCATTCCACTCAATTTCTGAAAAAACACTATCCTGCATCCACGTCAAATGTTCAACATACAATTAGGTGCTGTTATTTCTAAAATATTTTTAATAACTTTGCTAAAACCAAACAAAACCTGCAAAAAAAAACGTTTCTCTAATTTTTATTTCAAATTTTTTAAAGAATTATAGTTCTTGTTTTTACTTTTTTTACATTTCAATAAACAAAAAAACTCTTGATGCTTCAGAATTTCCTTCTATTTTTTCTATTTCCCTATTTTTTTTCTCTGTATTTTTTCCCAAACCTGATAGAAGATTTAGATTATTTTTTTATTATTATTTTGAATCTTCTCTAGATTCTCAGGTTTCATATCATTTGTTTGAATTCTAAAATAATTTTTTGTTCCTTTAATACTAAAACTAAATGTAGTAGATACAAACATGGTTATATAAAAAGAATAAAAAGGATTTACCTATAAAGAATAAAACTAAAAATAAAGTATAAAGAAAAATTTTTTAGTTTCATTTTTATTCGTTATTTAAAAAATATGGAAAAAAAAAATAGGAAAATGT